ACGGGTGAAGCAATTTCGAAGTTCATGCACGAGGAGATCGTTATGCGTTTTGGTTGTCCACATGAAATTGTCACGGATCGTGGTGCAAATTTTCTTTCCAACATTCTCGCTCTTTATCTTGGTCGCATGAAAATCCAACACAAGCGCACATCGGCTTTTCATCCACGTACAAATGGCAAGGCTGAACGCACAAATGGAATCCTCAAGCAAATGCTACGCAAGTATGTCAATGGTGCCATTCATCGTTGGGATGAATTTGTGGATACTACTGTTTTTGCCTGTCGCATTCGCAAGCATCGTACCACTGGTCTTAGTCCTTTTTACATGGTATATGGTCAAGATCCTGTTCTCCTTGGTGATACCTTGCAGCCTATGGTCCTTTCCAATCCATCTGATGATCCACAAGCACTTGCAGACTCTCGTTTACCTGATTTGCGTAATTTACGTGATTCTCGCAACAAGGCTATTGATCGACTTCAACGCAATGCACAACTTGACAAACAACGTTGGGATGCTTTACTCAAACCACAAGATTTCTCTATTGGTGATATCGTTGCTATGCGACATGAGAACAAGCTTAGCCTTGAATACAACTGGAAAGGCCCTTATCGCGTCATTGGCAAGAATCAAGAATACCATACCTACAAGCTCGAAGACATGCAAGGCAAAATTTATGCATCTATGGTACACACCGATCGCCTAAGGCCTCTTAACGTCAAGAACCCAATTCCTGAACCATGGTATGATCCTGCTTCCTCACGTGCTCAAGAACGTCAACGTCTCGCTCAAGCTGCAAGTACGTACGAGGACGTGCAATAATCTGGAGAGGGGGTATTGTCGGGGTATTATGCGCTGGCGCAGCAATATTCCTTTTGACAACATCAACTTGTACTCAGCAGGCGCAGCTCATGCGTAGCAGGCGCAGCAGTACTTCGCCACAACATCATAGATAGCCATCCCATATAAGTATCCCCACCACACAATATGAATAAACATCATCTCTTTACGTTACAAATACTTCTTTATTATGATACGTCGTTGCTATTGGCTACGGTCACATCCGCCAAAAAGAAAGCTCGACAAGGTATATGGTTTCCTGGATGATGATGTTTTTTTCATGCATAATGATATATGAGTTCGTGGGTGATGCTTTTGGTTTCGTGGGCTACGCTTTTGGTTTCGTGGGTGACGGTATTAACTTCGTGGGTAGCGCTTTTTATTCCGTACTCAGATTCATATGGTTTAGCGCTCGCGGATATTGGTTTCGTGGAGGATCATTTAATTTTCGCGCAGGATCATTTAATTTTCGCGGGTTGAGGGAAATGGGTCGTGGAGGAGTCTTTTAACAATGGGGGGGCAGTGAGCTGTACTCGACCTTTTTTGTATGAAAACCTCTCTTCGCCTTCCCCATTGTTAAAATACTCCTCCACGAACCATTTCCCTCAACCCGCGAAAATTAAATGATCCTCCACGAAACCAATATCCGCGAGCGCTAAACCATATGAATCTGAGTACGAAATAGAAAGCGCTACCCGCGAAGTTAATACCGTCACCCACGAAACCAAAAGCGTAGCCCACGTAACCAAAACCATCACCCACGAACTCATATATCATTATGCATGAAGAAAACATCATCACCCACGAAACCATATACCTCAACCATGAAATCATTATCCTCATGTTCCTCTTCATCTTGGAAATCCTGTATTTCTTTTTTTTATTTCTCGTTCTTTCAGAGGAGACCCACAACTTGCTACATAACCATATATATATAATAAGATAAAGTATAAATCTTTTGAAGTTTTCTTCATTCGCGATCATGACGTGGACTAAGGCATCAACGATCAAGCAGTTTATGAAGCAATTTGACAGCTATATGGCTGCTGTGAAGTAAGTTTTTGGTTTTCTTGTATATGATTTTCAGCTCCTTGAGCGTATGTTTTTCAGGTGTGTGATATAGGAAGATAGAAGATGTATGTGTGTGTGTGTGTGTGTGTGTGTGTGTGAGCTGTAGAGCGAGAACTGGTAACAGTAAGTGTCCGTGAGACTCGATAAAGAGAAAAGAAGACCAAGTTTATTTCGGATGACTACACGTTGTGTATATAGATGTGATGATGCAATCATGCTGAGTATGAAAGATGATGGTGGTGAGATCTTGAGAATACGACAAGGTGGTTGCAAGAGGCCCCAAAATGTCCTAATGGCCAAAAAATGGTGATTTGCAAGGACAACTCCAAGTCAGATGGTGTGGTATGGCAGTGCGGTCATCGTAAATGTTGTGGGCGAAAGAAGAAAACCATTCGGCAAGGCTCGTTTTTTGAGGGATTGAAAGCAGACCTCGATGACATTCTTTTGGTGATGTACCGTTTCTTCAACCCCGTTAAATCCCCCCACTTTTCAACTTAGAGAAATTCCCCACTTTTATTCCGCCAGCCTACCTTTTTTTTTTACATCGCACCTTCCCATTGGCAAAGGTTGGACCCTACCCACCGATCTACGACATGGACGTAATAGATCTATTCCAGATGAGTGCATTCGACTTTACACGGCTTCGATCTGAGCGATTGTGACGAATTGGCAAACACATGGGGCGATCCCAACTTACGCTACCTATTATACAGCACACCTCTTGGGCCTACCACACACACTTTCACAACCTTGTCACCTTCACCAAAGGTAGTATTATGATCAGTGGGTATTTTTCA